GCCTACAATAAGACAACATTGCTTGCAAAAGAAAAGACAAGTGCATGGCTAATTAAAACTTGTCAGTTTGGCTGACTTTTTAGCTTCCAAGGAAAATGTCAAGCCAGGTGATGTTTTCTTCTATTTTTTAGGTCAAAGCAGCCTGAAATTGCCAAACCCTCTGTTTCAATGCATGCGCCTCTGTAACAATGCATGCATGTGTCAACTTCAGGAAGTCATGGGCCTTTGTAACACCTTGCTTGACATTTTGTGTTGATTTTCTATCTCACGAAAGTTGTCAATTCTTGATGTTTTATGTTGATTTTCTGGCTCACAAAAAGCTTTCCTCATGTTTCCCGGTGCCATATGTTTGAAACTGTTAAATTATGATGCAAATTCTAGAAAAGAAAAGAAAATTCTAGAAACATAAAGAAAAAATGTATAAGTCTCTAGAAAAAACTAAAAGAGTGTAGAGACTTGTAGAGTTTAGAAAATTCTAGATAATTCCACGATCATCTAGAGATGGAGCATCATGCCTATAAATAGGCAAATTGGGACTTCATTGTAACAACAACAACAACAACAATTATCACAACTACTACTACTCTCTAAATATATACAAATGAGTTTCTATTATTCCACCAACTATTCCTTTTACAACTATCATATACTAGCAGTGGTACCAAAGCTACATTCGGTCATCTACTGGGGGTAGAAAAATCACCCAACTACTTCCAAAATTCCCTTTTATACATATAAACATTTTTCTTTGATCTATGGCCTCCAATACTGTTAATTTTTCATCTGTCCCTTTACCAGTTTTTACTAGTGAAAATTTTGATCTTTGGAAGCTCAAACTAAAGACATATTTTATCTCACAAAATTGTGGGATATCGTTCAATCTGGTTATACAAAACCAGATAATACTATCACTCTGTCTAAGGAGGAGCAGAAGAAGTTAGAAGATTGTGAACAAAAGGATGCCCAAGCATTATTTGTTCTTCAACAAGCTGTGGGAGAAACTATCGCTAGAAGGATCATGAACGCAGATACTGCAAAAAAGGCATGGGATATTTTGGAAGAAGAATTTGAAGGCAATGAACAGGTACGCTCCGTCAAGCTACACTATCTAAGAAGAGAATTTGAAACCATTAAAATGAAGGAATCCAAGACCATTGAAGAATACTATGGAAGAATAAAAGAAATAGTTAATAAAATGAAATTATATGGAAAAGAAATTAAGGAGAAGAGAGTGGTAGAAAAAATTCTAATCACTCTCATAGAAAAATATGATTCCATTGTAGCTTCCATTGAAACTTCCTCGGATCCATCTTCTCTATCGGTGAATAAATTAGTTGGTCTCCTCGGAGTGCACAGCAAGATTAAATAGTCGTGTCGATACAAATTCAGTTAAAAATGAATTTCAATCAAAGCTTAAATTACAATCTAAAAATAGAGAATATGGAGGAAAGAAAAATGCTGGAGAATATTCTAGAAACAAAGATTCTAGAAATTTCTCTGGAAACAAAAAAGATAAATACCCTTCATGTGGTATTTGCAATAAGCCAGGACATGCAGAAAAAGATTGTTAGCATCGTGGAAAGCTAATATGTCACTATTGCAATAAACCCGGTCACGTGGAGAAGTACTGTCGTAACAAAAATAAACATCAAGAAAATTTTGCTGAAGAGCATAATCAAGAGCAACGTCTGTTTTATGCTAACCAAGAATCTTGTGACAACGGAGATGGAAGCTGGTACTTGGATAGTGGATGCAGCAATCACATGGCCAAGGACCAAAGCATCTTTGTAGACATTGATAACTCCGTCAAAGTCAAAGTTCAACTGGGAAATGGCACCATGATGGAGTCTCAAGGCAAAGGCACAGTCATGGTGGAGACAAAGAAAGGTACGAGACTCATCAAAGACGTGTTACTAGTTCCAAATCTTAAAGAAAATCTTTTAAACATTGGCCAAATGATGGGTATTCTCTTCATTTTGAAAGAGATATATGCAAAATTTATGATAGTAAAAGGGTAGAGATTGGCCAAGTAAAAATGGAGAAGAGAAATAGAAGCTTTCCTTTGTAGACCCCTAAAATTGTCCGGGTCGGAAATAAGACTCGAAGACTCTCGAAGACCGAAGGAAAGTCAGCCAGAAGGACTCCTAGAAGACCCTAGGATGATTATCTGTAGGTTTAGAGGTCTTAGAGTAGCTTGAAATAAGGAAATGGAAGGATTGGAGCTCAATACGGCCTCCTAGAAGTTCAGTACGGCCGTACTGAACATTTTGAACTACAATACGGCCGTACTGAACCCAATACGGCCGTACTGAAGTTTTTGAACTTCAGTACGGCCGTACTGAATTCAATACGGCCGTACTGTAGTTCAAAACTTCAGTACGGGCCGTATTGACCCCAGAGGCCGTACTGCGCCTCACTCCTATATATAGGACGTCATTTGGACGTCATTCCACACTTTTCCACACTTCTTGGACTCTCTTCTTGAGTATTCTGGGGTTTTTGAGCAGTGTTCTGCCCTAGGAATCTCTCCGAGAGCCGATCCGACGAAGTTCTTGAGTTCTGAGCATTTAGCTTGAGAATTCGAACTAGTCGAAGGGAAATCTTTTTGATTTCCATAGTAAAGATTAATTTTTAGGGAAGGAGCGAGCGAGCGTGTAGTGGGAGGGAGCGCCAAAAAGCCTCCTAACATTTGAATATATAAAAGCACGCTTCAAAGGTTTCTTCTTCAAAATCCTTCCTTTTACTGCTTTCTGATTGTTGCATCGCATGTTTAATTTATTCATCATGTAGATATCTTATTCATAGCCGTTTATAATAAATAGGGGTAATTTAGTAATTTTACACTGTTATTTATGAAATAATCCGTCATAGGGAACCCGAAAGGGGCGTTGTGGGGTGCTAACACCTTCCCCGCACGTAACCGACTCCCTTACCCGACTCTGGTTGTAATGGCCAAAGTTGATTTATGAAATCAATTGCCTTATATCTTTTTCCAATGTTTTGAGTAAAACATTGGTGGCGACTCCAAGAACCCTTCTTTTTGCGAAAACCACTAATCCATGGAGGGTCCCGCTTGGGATTAACATGGATTGGTGAATCATTTAATAAAATTGTTAGTTCGATGAGGTCTCAGTTTGAGAATAAGTCGTTCTAACAATCCATCATTTTTCAAAACTTTAAAAGGAGTCCAACCATCGTCGCGAATGCCAAGGTCCGTTTCGGCGGGTGGCGACATCCTTTAAGCTTCAACTGTGGCACTAATCTTGCCATAAAGGTAGAAGTTGATGACTCATGGCTCTGGCATCGGACATTTGGCCATTTCAATATTCATGCCTTAAAGCTTCTACATCAGAAAGGTAGGATGAGGGATCTACCCAACCTAAAAGAAAATAATGAAGCTTGTTAAGGATGCCTTCTCGGAAAGCAACACCGATTGCCGTTCTCGACAAGCAAAGCATGGAGAGCCAAGGACTTGTTGGAGCTAATTCATACAGATGTTTGTGGACCGATGAGGACTCCATCACACACCAACAACATGTATTTCATCCTCTTCATTGATGATTTTTCTAGAATGACGTGGGTCTATTTTCTAAAGACAAAGTCAGAAGTCTTTGGAATATTTAAGAAATTCAAGGCCCTTGTTAAAAAGCAAAGTGGAAAACAAATAAAATTACTTAAAAGTGATCGCGGAAAGGAGTATACATCTCATGAGTTTGACAAATTTTGCGAAGATGAAGGCATAGAGCGACAACTTATAGTCGCATATACTCCACAATAAAATGGTGTGTCTGAGAGAAAGAATCGCACAGTCATGGAAATGACAAGATCGATGTTGAAGGAGAAAGGACTGCCAAATACATTCTGAGCTGAAGCAGTCTACACTGCAGTCTACCTACTCAATAGATGTCCTACTAAGGCAGTTCGGGACAAGACTCCAATAGAAGCTTGGAGCGGGAAGAAGCCATCAGCTAAGCACCTAAGGGTCTTTGGATCTATCTGCTACATTCATGTGCCAGATGAAAAAAGGCATAAGTTAGAAGACAAGACCGTACGAGGCATATTCTTGGGATACAGCTCACAATCAAAAGGCTACCGAGTCTATAATCTTCAGACAAAAAAGCTAACAATCAGTAGAGATATTGATGTAGATGAAAATGCTATTTGGAACTGGGAAGAAGAACGAATTGAGAAGAAGACTATATACATGCCCATCAATCAACCAACTACATCAAGTCTAGAAGACAACAATCAAGCATTGTTATCTCTCCAGAATCTCCAAGAATAGTTCCACAACAAGAAGAATCATCACTTGAGTCTACTCCAAGACGAGTTAGATCACTGGTAGATATATATGAAACCTGCAACTTGGCCATACTTGAACCAGGAAGCTTTGAAGAGGCAGCAAACCAAGAAGTATGGGTCAAGGCTATGGAAGAAGAGATCAAAATGATTGAGAAGAATAACACATGGGAGCTCGTAGACTACCCTTATAAAAAAGATATCATTGGAGTAAAATGGGTATATAAAACAAAGCTTAATCCTGATGGAACTATACAAAAACACAAAGCAAGATTGGTTGCTAAGGGCTACTCACAACAACCAGGAGTGGACTACAATGAGACATTTGCTCCAGTCACACGCCTAGACACAATAAGAGCTTTAATAGCTCTTGCAGCACATAATGGATGGAACATCTATCAACTGGATGTCAAGTCTGCATTCCTCAATGGCGTACTCGAAGAACAGATCTATGTGGAGCAACCACTAGGATTTGTGATTAAAGGCCATGAAGGCAAAGTGTTGAGATTGAAGAAAGCTTTATATGGTCTGAAGCAAGCTCCTCGAGCATGGTATAGCAAGACCGACCAGTATTTACCTGATAATGGTTTAAGGAGGAGAAAGAGTGAGCCTACACTATACATCAAGACTCAAGGTCAGCATACTCTCTTACTCTCTCTCTATATGTAGATGATCTTATTTACACCGGAACCAATACAAAAATGATGATGGAGTTTAAAGAAGACATGATGAAGACCTTTGAGATGATTGATCTTGGCTTGATGAGTTACTTCCTCGGTATAGAGGTAAGTAAGAGAAATGATGGAATATTCATCTCACAAAAGAAATATACAGAAGTTTTACTGAAGAAATTTAATATGTACGGGTGCAAATCTATAAGTACACCGCTAGTGACGAATGAGAAACTACAAAAGGTGGATGGAGCACCAGAAGCTGATGCATCCTGATATAGGAGTCTAGTTGAAAGTTTACTTTATTTGACAGCTACACGACTAGACATCATGTTCGCTACAAGTCTTCTATCAAGTTTCATGCAAAAGCCAAGTCAAATATTCACTATGGAACAGGAAAAAGAATATTGAGATATCTACAAGGCACAAGGGAGTTTGGTATATGGTATAAAACCATGACCAAATCAAGGATGATTGGCTATACCGACAGTGATTGGGCAGGATCAATAGATGACATGGAGAGTACATCAAGATATGCCTTCTCACTAGGATCTGGATTTTTCTCTTGGGCGTCAAAGAAGCAAGCAACAGTTGCACAATCAACAGCAGAAGCAGAGTATATATAGCAGCTGCTGAAACTACAAGTCAAGTAATATGGCTACGGAGAATACTTGAAGAAATGAGTGAACAACAAGATGGCCCGACTGTTATATACTGTGACAATAGATCAGCAATAGCAATGGCAAAGAATCCAGTTCATCATCAAAGAACGAAACACATAGCCATCAAATATCACTTCATCAGAGAAGTAGAGATAACTAAGCAAATTCAACTTGAATACACAGAAGATCAAGTTGCAGACATATTTACAAAGGCACTACCGAGAGCAAAGTTTGAACAACTACGGACTATGCTTGGAGTTACCGAAATTTGCATCAAGGAGGAGTGTTAAATTATGATGCAAATTTTAGAAAAGAAAAGAAAATTCTAGAAACATAAGATAAGATGTATAAGAAAGAAAAAGAAAATTCTAGAAACATAAAGAAAAAATGTATAAAGTCTCTAGAAAAAACTAAAAGAGTGTAGAGACTTGTAGAGTTTAGAAAATTCTAGACAATTCCACTATCATCTAGAGATGGAGCATCATGCCTATAAATAGGCAAATTGGAACTTCATTGTAACAACAACAACAACAATTACCACAACTACTACTACTCTCTAAATATATACAAATAAGTTTTTATTATTCCACCAACTATTCCTTTTACAACTATCATATACTAGCAGAAACTCATCACCATCTTTAACGTCTCCTACACTCTACGCAGCAAAAATAATTTATTTTGATAATTAATTTTTTAATTAATTTATTTCAATAAAAAAATTATTTAATTTATTATGGCCAAAAAGGCGTCATAGAAGACCTTTAATAGGAACTGCATCATTAAACATCACTTCGTTTTTAACAATTCACAAACTCTAGCATGTGGCATGTAAAAAAAACAAAACTTGAAGAAAGAGCTTGTGGCTCGTTCCTCTAGAAAAGAAATCAACCATATGCTGAGTATAGTGTTGATGAAGTTGGTTATGTTGAACACTAGGGAAACCCAACTACTTATATAAAGTAAACCAAATCTGACTAGAAAATAGTAAAATTGATGTTCAACATACTCTCTAAAATGAGAGCACAGAACACATCCTTCCGAATCAGTAGCTACTCTTTAAAACTATGGTTGGAAGCATAGAAGTTTCTTAGGAAACGCTACTTTGGATGACACAACACTTTTCTAGAAATGCTTACACGGATTTTCTAACATCACTGAGTAATCAACACGTCAAGAGCACAAACATTATATGCAACTGCCACTTCCATTAGTCAAGTGCAGCAGTACTTGCTGATCCAAAATAACATTATTTTCAATTGATCCACCAACACATCCTCCCACCTAAATAAAATATTGGAGAAATGCTAGCAACTTTTTATAAGAATTTAATCACAATCAATTGTATTTTAATACATGCATCCCATAAAATAAATATCTATTTTATATAACTAAAATGTATAATAACTAATTAATTCTTTTTTATTAATAGGATTGCAATGAACAATAAGACTAAAAATCTTTACGTACTCTCCTGAACTCTCACTATTAAACTAATTATAGTAATTCCAAGTAAATACTTTTTGTATTTGTCTGAGGTACATGAATGCGTCCTTCTTCAATGTTTTCATTGTTATTTACTCTTTGAACTAATTCTCCTACTATGCTGAGGGGATATACTTGCAAAAGGTATTCCAATATTCAAATAAGATACTTACTTGATGTAATAAATATCAGTATTCAATGAAATTTATTTTTACTTCAATATGTATTACTATTTATACTAATCATCATAAGCCTTAGGTCGGTAGATTTCGTCCTTTATATTAACAACTAGGTAATCTTACCCTTAATCCATATCTTCCAATGATCATCCTATTTGTGTAGGATTAATTGATCATAAATATTAAATAAGTGGACACTCTTTTTGACTCTAACCATTCATGGCAGATCAAGTATTCCACCTCTTTGGCATCAGACCCCCCTAAATCGAGACCAAGCTGAGAGGGGCACGATGTTGAAGGGTGGGTCATATGCATTCACTTGACTGAGATAAAGCTGACAGGGATTCGATGTCGAGGGTTGGTCATATGGACTCACTTGACTGAGATGATAATGATAAGGGTTCAGTGTTGAAGTTGGGTCATATGGACTCACTCGACCAAGATGAAGGTGATAGAGATGTGTGGTGCCGAGAGTTCGTTGACTTACACTTGCTTAGTACTTTTGGTGTTCTTATGTTAAAACAATGGTCTTCGGTATACTTTTGAATATGTAAATTATGTCATAATTAAATTTTGTAACAAATATAGACACCGAGGTGAAGGAGTATTTGATAGATAGATTTAGGCTTGGAGGAAAGGAGATCTACTTAGTATCTTATTTGACTGTGTAACTACTTGTATTATATTTTATTTAAAGTTTACATTAACTTACAAGTTTCTAACACTATTAAAAAATGCAATACACACTAATAGCTCCTTGTTATAATTTTTAGGCAGTTTTTTTGTAGTTCTTTTATGTTCATTATACAAGAAAATTACTGAGTTGCATGTTAGACCCTTAATTGAATTGTAAGTTTCTAATTTGAATACATATTATTTTTTTTAATAATTTGATTAAACAAATAATAATTTTATTCCTTAATTATTTTTCATTTATCATTCATTAGCATAGGTCTTTGAATGCAAGTTTGATCTTACAGGGCTTCTTATGATAGCTCGGAATAATCTTCGATATATTGCTCCATAAGTAAATTAATTGTCAACCTAGCTAATACTTATATAGCTGAATTAAAAGATATTGTAACTATGTTTTATATTCATTATATTGTAATGCCCACGTCAACCAAATAATCATGATTGCAACTATTATGTGATGAAGTACATGTTCACCATTATTACTAAGAATAGTAGGGACTCATGGAGGGAGGTAATGCATATTTAAATCAATTTAATTACATTAACTAATTATTTAATTATTTATATATCGATTAATATTTAACTATTTCTATTTTGAATTAATTGTAGTTATAAAAAAATTCAACTCCATTGTCAATGAAGAGTTGGAGGATATCTGGAATGGGCATTGACTTATCTTGAGTCATTTTTATCATGACATTTTTTTTATACATTGTTATAGTTTTTCTTGTGTACAACAGTATTGATATTTAACTTTGATGGCTAGTTTATTTTAGGTTGATTGTTACATTGATACATTCTTATAATAATTGTTCCGTGATATTAATTAATGACAATATTTGTTTATTTTAAATTTATTGTTAACTCTCTTTGATTGTTAGCTAGTTTACTTTATATATTATTTGAATTTTAACATGAAATATTGTAAATTATATAGGGTTGTATTGGACTGGACAACATATACTATATACTGCCAAGATTGTATTTTTTACGTACAACTTTGGGAAAAATTAAAAAAAGTGAAAAGAATATTTTTTAAAAAATGCACTTTCTTTTATAGTGAATGTGTCCTTACCTATCATAGAAAGTGCACATTCTATCACTAGTATGACCTTATCTATCATAAGATGTGCAAAATTTTATGTCAGGTAATGTCACACTTATTATAGAATGCAAATGTCAATATGATTAAAACATCACATTTAGTACCCATACTATGACATACATTGATCACCCTCCATAGAAAATGAATTTTCTATACCATATTTTGACCTATCATCGAATGTGTGGACATTCTATGTCACCTAGATCTATAATGTGTCCAAGACCAACATAAAATGTCCAAAACATCCGACATAGAAAGTCTCTAACACATTAGTGAGTGTTTTATTTATAGGCTTCTATCAAAATAAAAGATTTTTAGGTGTTTTATTTCAATGATAAATTTTTATATATATAAAAAAAAACTTATCTATTTCAATTTGTATTTATTATATATGTTATAAATTAAATTTAATAGATTTAAAATAAATTTTTAATAATTAAAAATAATCTTGCATTACAATGTAAATTATTTTTACAAATATAAAATATCATTCATATATTCAAAAATATTTATTTATAGAAATTTTAAATTAATATAATTTATATATTAAAACATATAATATTTATAATAAATTTTATTTATATATAATTATCATTTAACATGTAATACAAAAACTAAAATATTAATTTATATAAAGAGGGAAAATAATGTCAATTATTTTTAATCTCATATTCGCGAGTTATATGGCATCCTTATTGTGAATAACCAATTTTATCCGGACCCACAAAAATAATGAAATGGACATTTACTATGAAGAGGAGGAGATCCCAAAGTATGGAGGCAACACCATATGACAACAAGGAAGCTTGAAGCCCAAAAAAATGGTTTTAGGAGCCTAGAACGGGCCGTTCCTAAATTAGAACGGGTCATTCCAGGTTACTAAAAAGACCTAAAACCCTAATTTAGAACGGGTCGTTCTGACTTTAGAACGGGACGTTGTAGGTTACAAAAATGACTTAAAACCCTAATTGAGAACGGGCCGTTCTAGGTTCAAATTTAGCTCATAACTGAATGATCCAGAACGGGCCATTTTGAATCCGGAACGGACCGTTCTAGTCAGGTCTGACATCTATAAATAGCAGGCTCAAGCATTGTTCTCGGGGCGGTGAAAAAAAAAGCGCAGAAAAAAACGGCGAGAAAAAATTTGTCTAAGCTTCCTTACAGCTCAAAAATCCTCTTTGTAATTCTTGAGTTTTGTGAGGCATTTGTGTAGTGTGAAAGGTAGCCAAAAAGTACCTAATAGATCATCATATTTGAAGATTCAACACGATAACAAGTTCATCCGCCTCACCTTTGGTATCATATTCTTTTCTTAACCTTTTTTTTTATTTGTTGAAAATTGTATGTACAGAGTGAATGTGATTTGTTGTCTTCAAGATCATTGTTTAGAAAGTATTTAATATACAACAAATCACAATGTCAATTGAATAACATTTTTATTTTTGATGTTATTTGATTTGAGGGTTTAATGATTAGTCATTTGCTAACTTAAATTCTTA